GAAAGGAAAAACATATGATCCCCAGGGCAGCCAACAGAAGCATGTTACCTTCAGTGAGACTGAGAAGGAATATGGTATGAGTACCTTTTTGTTTGTTATTGGTGGTTTAGATACATTAGTGAAACATCTTGTTTTTTTTTTTGTCTCACCGCTGATTGATATGTTCATGTCTTGTTGATCTATGAAACCCATGGAGTGTGCACTTATTCTTGATTCCACCATGATATGGAATCTTCACAGAATTTTTTTATGGAAGCTTGAAGATGAACTTTCAGGGTATCATCATCATCATCATCATCATCATCATCATCATCATCATCATCATCATCATCATCATCATCATCATCATCATCATCATCATCATCATCATCATCATCATCATCATCATCATCATCATCATCATCATCATCATCATCATCATCATCGACCTGGCTTGCAGTCCAATACTCCCCAACCTGAGATGTGCCTTGCATTCTACAATTTAGCCCTATGCTGCGTGGAAAATGCAATGTTCACTTGAGTCTTGCTTTGTGAAATGTCTCTAAACTTAAATGGCTTCACAAGTGCTCAGCCACCAAGGAGTCAGTTAGTAGTCCTCATGACCTCACCTGATTTTCCTTTTGTGTGTTTTCAGGGAAACTTTTTTTTTACTAATGCTGTCAATGCTGGTGTTGTTAATTTTATTATAGACATCGTAATCATTATGAAACAATATAAGGCAAAAGAAAATATATCCAAAAATTCAAGGAAATGGTAAACCGATGAGGTATGTAGTGTCAGTAATTGACTCCTTTGTGACTTTGTGAAGTACTAGTGGAGCCATCTTTGTGTAAAGACAGTTGACAAACATTGGGCAATACATATCTGTATATGCCAGCCCTGGTGGGTATGTGTCAGTATCTGTTGAAAGTATTCTACCATTTATCTTGCCTTTTTGGGCTTTCTCTCATACCTGTAACTGTAGGATAAGTTAGGTTTGTTTCTCTCTATCATTACCTATTGGATTTAGTTTAATGCTGGAAAAGGAACTGAATGTTGTCCTGAAACTCAGGTTATTTTAAGAGAATAAGAAAGTCTGCAATAACATACATATATAACCTATATAACCTATAGTTATACATGTTCATACACACACACACACACATATATATGTATGTATGTACATATATATGTACGGCGTGGCAGACTCGTGAACTATATTCGCGCCCAGGAAATTTGAAGTTTGCTAGCATCTTTCAAACAATTTTTTGGACTTTAGTATTTAAAAAATTTTGTTTGTATGTATGGAATGTTCATAAGTAGAATATTCTAAAGTAGGGGACTATCTGTATATATATATATATATATATACATATATATATATGTATATACACACACACATATGCACACATTGTTTAACCCATTGCTGATAGGTATGACGTGTACGTACATGCTATATCCACTGTGAGTTACTTGTTTGATTGTTTTTACACATAGATGGCTACACTTGTACTAAGTCACCAATGAGCCAGCTACGAGTACTGCCTGTCTCACCGGTTTACCCTTTTCTTTAATTTACAAGAATATTTTATGTTATCTTATTTTGCTGTTACTAATGTTTATAACATTGTAGTAATTATAAATTTTATAATAAAAATATCACCATTGATATTCAAAGCACTAGTAAAAAATACATTTTTCCTGCCAATTCAAACCAGGTAAGGTTACAAGGTCTACTAATTGACTCCTTTGTGGCTATGCACTAACAGAGCCATCTATGTGTAGTGACATTTCGAAAATATATTGAAAATGAGAACATTTTCCCCATTTTTTATATATTTACCCCGGCGGCAATGGGTTAATATACCCGCACTAAGTGGTGTGTTTCACTGGAGTCACACTTGTTGGATTCATAGATGAAGGTATCCCTCTGCGTTGTCAGGAAATGTTTTTTTTCATCTGCTGAGTCCTATATACAAAATGTTTTAATTTTTTATTTCCTTGTGTAATGGCCAGAGTTGATATATGGAAATTATAATATAGCAGACTGAAGTATGGTGATAGATCTTCTAGCTAATTTTATGTTATATGAATACACAAAGCAATTAGTATGAGACTTGATGACATTTCTCTCTCTCTCTCTCTCTCTCTCTCTCTCTCTCTCTCTCTCTCTCTCTCTCTCTCTCTCTCTCTCTCTCTCTCTCTCTCTCTCTCTCTCTCTCCCCCCTCCCCCCCTTTTTAGCTTACTCTGTATCTTTCTATATCTCTATAATATAAACCTATGTCTGTTAGTCTATTTATCACTATTTGTATTTTTATCTGTTTGTGTATCTATCTGTATGTCTATCTGTATATCTGTTTATCTATCTGTGTATATAAACATACATATACACACATCCCTTATATTTTGTATCGTGAGTTTAACTTCCACAGCACAAAAGTTGCACTTTCTTTAAGCCTGCTCTTTTTCAGGTAGTGAAGCTATTCTCCAGGTATGTTGTTTTTCCTATCTTCTTAAGAGCTTTGCAGAGAAACATTACGGAACATCTTGTAGATGGTTGATGCTCTTCTTTGGGTCTGTGTTTTAGAGAGCTTTTGCTAGCCATGTGATGATTTGCTCTCTTCTGCATATGACTTTGCAGAGAGAATTTTACTGTGAATACATATAATATACAGTTGCTGAGTAATACTTTCCTTTGCCACATTAAGAAAATATGTTGTACTTTACTTGCACTAACTGCTTGCTAACTAATAAACCTTGTGTGTTAACATTGTAAAGTCTTCATTATTATATGTCGTTTGTTAACTAATAATTTCAATACTTTGTTAATATTTATAGTTGTACAAGTGATAACAACTATACACATTTTTTTTTATTTTTTGTAATCCACACATTTTGATTTTTCCAAACTTCTTTTGAATTTTGCAAACATTCCCAATACATCTATTGTATTTTTGAAAGAAGATAAAGATTATTACATATTTGTTTTTCAAGTTTTGCTCTTTGAGAATTTAATTAGGACATTTATAATGTGTGCTCTTTTTAATCCAAAATGCTCAGTAGGATATGTTGCTTTTACCATGGCTTTGTTTATCTAAAGACATCTAGCTGTGAAGTAATATATATTTTTTATATTGATTAACTCTTTTGTCAATATCACCTTGCATTATTTAGGTACAGTAAGAAGTAGCTTAATCCCTTAGATTTAGTAATAACTGATGTTGTTAATGTACAAGATATATATTATTATTTATGTATCCATTGTATAGACTTTCCACATCCATAGTTGCTAAGACTGTGTGTATAAAAAGTAAAAATGAGTATCATTGTACAGTATGTACTAATCCTCTTACATTAGTAAGTGTTTGAATGTTTACAATAAGCATCAGACTTGCTGTGTATTGATATTCTTTTCCACTGTGTATGTTATGCATTACTGTATTTGGAATATCCAATTTTTTGTGATTAAAAATACATACAATTTTTTTTTCTTTGGGAGTCTCTCAGTATACTTTATAGTGAAAGATGGATTTTTTTTTTTTTAGAACAAAGTTATTTTTTTTCTCTCTTCAATGCTACACTTCTCTATGCTCATTTAGTAAAGATTTCATGTTTAGTCTGTATCAAAAGGGCTTTTCATTTTCCTTTGTTCCATTCAAAGTTCAGCCAGAGGTTATGTCTAAATTTTGAAACCTTAACCAGCCATGTATTTTCTACCTGGGATAGCTTTCTCCCTGTTTGATCTGAAAGAATAGAAAAAATACAATTATTTTCATCTCACAGAAAAGAAATTGGTTCTCCAACAGGTAGATAATTTCTTTGGATATACATATATATATATATATGTATATAATTTATCCTCTGTTTCTTCTGACAGATACAGCCACAGTCAATGGCAGTGCAGGAGGACAGGAGAGCGATTCAGAGGACCCACTCTATTCAACAGTGAAGCCAAAAAGCAAGCAGTCTAACCTCTCTGCCTCCAGCCACCAGAGGAGGGGTGACAGTGATGAGGATGTCAAAGGGGGGAGAGGAGCCAAGACACAGAAAAAAGGAGCAAAGAAGGCGCTTCAAGGCTTGCGGAACCCTAAAGCACAAGGAGTGGATAATAAGGCCTTTGTCGGTAGGTTTGCATCTGGCTTGTCATTTTGGATGGCATTAAGCCATTGGTGCCGGGTATGACGTGTACGTACGTGCTATGCCCACCGTGAGTACTTGTTTGATTGTTTTTACGCATAGATGGCAACACTTGTACTAAATCACCAATGAGCCAACTATGAGCACCGCCTGTCTCGCCCATTTACCCGTTTCTTTGATTTACAAATTATTTTACGTTATCTTATTTTGCTGTTACTAATGTTAAAAAACATTATAAAAATTATAATGTCTATTTACATATAACACCATCGATATTCATAGCAGTAGTAAAAAAGAAACTTTTTCCTGCACATTCGAGGAAAGGTGAAATCAGTAAGGTCACAAGGTCTACTAATTAACTCCTTTGTGGCTAAGCACTTGCAGGGCCTTCTCTGTGCAGAGACATTTCACAAAAAATAAAAAATGAGCACAGCATTTTCCCAGCGACACTGAGTTAATAGGAAAAATTACTCAATTGGTCTTTTGAATAATTTCTTATTGCCATTCCTTCAAATGAAACAAGATTTATGATTGCCTTCTTTACTCAGGGGATGATGAACAAGACTCTGTAGACATACCACCAGGATCCCAAGCTCCCTTAGGGCCCATCTTAAAGAAACCTGCAAATACCAGTACCCCAACACAGGATCCAAATATCGGCAAAAGCCTCAGTACTGTGCCACTGAGGCAGAGTCATACGATAGACCAGTTTGGGGCTGGAGGCAGTTATGAATCTCAGCGTTTCATGTCAAGCTTCGGCTACAGTTCATTACCCGTGAAAGAATGGTAGGTTTACAAAGTTTTTCGATTTTGAGTGAATTTACGGGCTATGCCATAGAGTGTATTTTTTCTATATTATTCATTCAAAATAAAGATAAGGAAA